TTTACAAAGACAGCACACTAGACGTGGTGATAGGCAGCTCATTCAGCATTTCATTTCCGCTACACAATGTTTTCACAAGCAAAAGAAACAGCCCAAGATTGAAACAACGAAATCCTGTACACAAATTTAAATGTCAAGGAAGTGTTTTAACAGAAGATGGAAAATGCAACACTGAAACCCGAAGACGCATTGGAATATCAAAAGATTTCATTATAAACAAAGAAAAAGTACCAAACTGATATGTGATATCGATCCTCCTATATGGCAGTGAATGTAGAGGAAGAAGGGACTTGACGAAAAATGTGAATCTACAGAAGGACGGTGAGAATAACATGGACTGAATATGTGAGTAACCACAAAGCTTTAAGGAAAATAGAAACAAATAGGACGCTTATATTTAGAATCAGAAAGCAACAGTTGAAATTTCTTGGGTATATAACGAGGAAAGAGGGCATGGAAAATTTGACACTCACAGGACATATTGAAGGCAAAAGGGACAGAGGAAATTAGCGAATAAACTACACTGGGAGTTTGTGTAAATGGTTGGCAGAAAATGGATTAGGGGTGATAGCAAGGGTAGGACATGGTGGATAACCATGATCGCCCACACCCCGAAGGGGCACGGCACATACAAGAAGAAGGGCGAAAGTCAGCTTTGCAGAACGTGAAGAAGGTGAAGGAGTATTTCCTTGTGTGAATATACTTTTTAGCGTAAATCTTCTTTTTTGTGAGCTGTACCAAACAAAAAATATATTTATTTTGATACCATCATCAACTTTGAAGGAATTTATGGTTTTACTGACTCTAATACATGCATTCCATTTTCCGGATGCTGCCTTCTAAGTATTGTTCTTTAATTATTTCCATGACGAATTCAATCTCTATTCTAGCCACCAGGTCCATACACTAGCTCTATACACACCACTAAAAATTACTGTTGAGAAATCAATTTTCATGTACTGCTTTGCTCAACTTAGACATTTATCGTTGTGATGCTTACTTAAAGGTGGTAATTTTATTGATTTTCATGATTTTCGCAAATGTTCTATTCTTTATTTACATTCGTGATACCAGCTTCTTCAATTATTTTAGATTGCATATATATATATATATATATATATATATATGGAGTCTCAGATGATGGTACACTGAACCATTGTTACCTGCTGGTGATTTTGCCTAAGAGCTAACACTTGTTTGCTCCCACAACAGGTTTACGTTTTGTTTTCTACTCAACAGACACATAGTGAAGTTTTTATAGTGTTGATTGAGCGGTTAGCATGAATGAGTTGAAAGATAGAATAAGAGAGTAAGTTATCATTGGATAAGGTCCTGGCTTTATTTTTATAGGTATGCTTATATCAACGAGTGAAACGATCGCTTCAGTTCGAGAATGCAACTTCCGGTTCACCAGCTTGTTCGCTCTTCCATAGGAAGCAAACGCAGTGACCGTTTTCTTAGCAAATATGAGACTCTTGACTTGAAGTATTGCGTTATGATCTTTCGTCTCACTCTCTTATATAGGCGTATCTTCCACAAAAAGTGAATTAAAGTAGTAATGACACGTACCTTGAATCCATCATAAACGCTCTGGATGTGCAGTATTGGAATTTTAATTTGAGAAACACGAATACAATATTTTACAAGTTCTAGTCTATTTTCCAATCCTCACTACAACCTTTTTCCTTGGTTTCAAAACCGGCTCCCAAAGCCTTGATTCTTATCAGAGATAAGAATATATTTTCTGACTAACGAGAGAGCTGGAAAATATAAAAAAAAGGAATTCCACCACCATTATTCTTTCCATGGTGCCATAAAGTCTGGGGTAAACGCTCACGGCTTGTTCTTATCAAAGATAAGAATATATTTTCTAACCAATGAAGGGACCAGAAAATTTGTATAACAATTTTGGAGGGAAAAGTTCCCGATACTTCTGAGCCTCCCAAATCTCCATAAATTTGGAGAAATCTATGTCTATTTGACAGTGAGCATTCGACAATTGTCTGAAAAACAACAACAGGTCGGCGACGGAAAAGCAGAAATCTTTGCTGTCAGCTGGAAAGAACTACCTACTAAGGCCCGTAGAGAAAGAACGTCGGCCCGCTACTAAATACCTGTTTAAAGCTGCCTCTTTTCACCTACAAGATTTCTGTCGTCGACCTACGAACTCACTCAACTGCAAGTGGCTAGAATGTGAAAATATTGTATTCGTGGTTCTCAAATTAAATTCCAATAGCAATTTATAAATACTAATCACTTCAAATACCTCGGTGTATGGATCACTTATAAGAAAATTTATTAACAGAAATTGAACATAGAATAGGTTGCTCTAGGGATAGTTTCGCCCAACAACGTTAACTGCTACAAAACCAAAACATTAACCTACAAACTCGAGTCATGTGCTTAAATAATCTCGTCGGATCGAGACTTTTATATGGTTTCCATGTATGGTAATAAATTCATTCTGAAATACCTAAACTGTCAGCTGCATACAACTACTTTCTCAGATCAATAGTTAAAAAAAAAGAAGCTTCGAACGAATGAAGTATATAGGTCTTAAAAAGAAGCATACTTCTTCGAACTTTGTGAACTGGCGCTACAATGAACTGTGTCAGATGACAGAACCACGCCACTTGAGGTTTCTGTCAGAAACAACTAAAATGCATATCACATGTAACTCGAAGATAAATTAATGACATAGTCAAGTTGTTGACGTTCCACACTGCAAAAAAAAAAAACTGCTTAGAAAAGAAGCCCCCATTAATAATACTAGAACGAGTGCACTTGAGAAACCTATTTCCTGAAAGTTTTTTAATAGGATGATTTTATGACTTTCAACTGAAATTAGCACTGGATGCTTGGTCAATGAATGCCAAATGATTCCTTATAAGGAATCAATTAATATCATGTTCTAACTTATGAGCACACTAAAAAGCAAGGAAGAAGAACCTGAGCATGACTACTCAACTGTTGTTGCATATATACGTTTTCAAGTCAAATCTGTATTAGCACCTAGCGATTCATCCCCATTCACGTCTATTTTGCCTTCGTTTTATCCCGTCGTATTAGAGAACATGATAGTCTTTTCCTTTGATTACGCCAGCCATGACCCTTTTTAAGTATGCCACTTTGCTGAATATATCACAGTGGGAACTCAGATTAATTTACATAAATACTCACCTTCAAATTAATTCTAAATTTCTAACTGTTGACTGGTTGCTAGATGTTAATTGTCGAGGAGAAAAAGATGCAGCTGCCTCTATAAAATAACTGATGTAACTAAACACGCATCCACAATCACACTCATCAACAAAACAATGGAAGCAAAAAGAGAAACATCTTTTATATGCTCTGGTTACACTATATTTATTAAAAATGTTTCAAGAGTACATCAACACATCACAAACAATGTCGACAGCTTCAAACAAATAATTAAAGATGACAGTATCATTTCAAATATTAGTCTATATCAAGAAATAACGGTTAAAATATAGTAAATGTGGATAATAGTTGTAAGTTGCCGAACACAAAATGATAATTAGTTTATTATAGATTTTGCATAGTATTGAAACATTGTACAAAATCAATGCGAGTCAATATGGTCAATTGCAACAATAGAAATAGTCCTGAAGTCTTTTTTTTTTTTAATTATTTTCTCGTGGAGTCCCCTCTAAATATTTAATCTCTTTTAGTTCCAGTCATTGGAATCAGAAGAATAATGTTAATCTATAAAATGTTTTAACTAATAATTTTCTTAGTTAAATTTAGATACTGCACCATCTGTAACCTTAAACTACCTTAACTATCACAACTTTTCGTACGAACCATGCTCGCGATTAATAACATCAATATTTAGCTAGTTCGTCAATTAGTAACAATTATTGCAACTGTATTTTTGCTGTGACAGCTACTAATATTAAATATATAAAAACACATCAAAATTGTTACATATGTATTTGTAAATAATATAAAGAAACAAATTAATATTTGTAAATCTTTCAAAGTAATATATTATTTTTTATTATTATTATATGTTATTATCATCTGTGTTTACTTTCTAAAAATCTTCATTAAAAAGAAAAATATAATGAAAAATAATGAAAAAAAGATAAAATAACTTTTCAACGTGAAAAGTTACTGCGCTATTTTCTTTTTGAGAAAATAACGTTTAAGATGATTATTTTACAAAATGTATAATAAAATTTAAGCAAATAGATAAAAACTGATGATTAATATAGAATAGAAATGATATAATCTTTACTATTCTGATTGTTTCTGTTATTAATTCCATCCTTTAATAAATTTCCATTTACTCATTTGATTATTTATTAGTGTTAAAGAAATGTTCTAATAAGTTTTTATTATTTTGCTGCTGTTCTTATTGATGTGGTAGTTGTTGTGGCCGGTGGGTTGTTTCTATTATACAATAATTCATTCCGAAGAGTTTTGTTGTTTTTATCGCAACGTTTCGGCCGGTGTACTCACAGGTCGTCTTCAGGTGTCTGTCGCATTTAGTTATTTTTCGGGAATGTCGAACAAAACTCTTTATTTAATCCATGACCGTCTTTAGGTGGCTGTGATATTTGTTAGCCTCCCGGGAATGTTGTGCGAAATACTGGGAATGTGACGTTCTTATTTTTCAACCCTTTCATCTCTAGTGTCCTACTGAAATTTCAAAAACCTTTAATTCTTTCTTAGAATGCCGATCTGCCATTCCATCGAGCTGGTGTCAGTTAAGGACATCAGATGTGTGACAGGTCTAGAGAGGAGGACAACGTAACCTAGTGGATCAGATAAAGGGTGGGTTTCGTTTGACATTTACAGGTTACCTAATACGATAGACAGCTGAAGAAAGTCAAGGGTAATATTAGCTGAACTGTTGGGATAAAGCAAATTGGGTCAAACAAATCAGTGTATAATAGTAACAACATTTCATCTCAGAAAGTCAGGCAGTTCTTTTCAGTAGAGGCAAAGTTTCATTTCAGAAGAAACAAATCAGCTTAACTGATTTGGGCAGACAATTCATCCCAAGTTGAATCTTTGATCATTTTATTGATGTCATCTTTCAATTTGTCCACTTCGGGGTCCATAACTTCAGCAGCGTATCGTATGTTTTTAGAGGTCATCATGCTAAAGGAGTTATCAAAGCAGAGAGCGTCTGTTGATGAAGAGGAAAAGACAAAAATAGAATCGACATTAGAAACAAAAGAATTATATAAACAAAGACAAAAATTAGAAAAGAAGAAGAAGGAACAATAACAATGAATACAAAAACAAGTATAAAGAAATGTATTATTAACGTTTGTTTCAAAATCGATCAAATAACAGTTTTACATCAATCTTATTAAAATAAGCAACAATAAAAGTATTTTCTCAATAGATCAAGTCCCTTATAAAATAGTTCGAAATAGAAGTAATATTGTAAAAATTAGATCGTTAGTGACATGTAAAGGGTATATGCTTTATTTTAAATTTAAAAAAATAATTATTTTAATAATCCATTTAATAAGAACAAAAGAGACAATGAAAATGATATTGGCTCAAAAAAGCTTAATCTTTACTTGTATCATTTTCCAGATTCATACTTTCCATTCATTGTAACTAGAAATTTTTTAGCCCAATGAATAATGAAAATATGAACAACTCAATGGAAGAAGTAATATTCACATTTTTATACTACGAATAAAGGCAGTAAAACGTAAAGCGGTTATAAAATGTTCAATTCACATCATGCATAAATAAATACTGGAAAAAAATAAATACTGAAAAAATTGCGTTGTTTGATATGAAAGTGATTTTCTATTTACAATTCTTGTTTTTGCATGCATTAGGCTCCACCAATAGCTATGCTGATTAAGGATGTCCAGTTGGCAAATCGCGAAAGAAGGATGCTTCCTTTTCTTTTTAAAACGCTATGATTTTTCTTGAGGAAAAAGTCGTGGAGTGGTTTCGATGTTACTCTCTGCACGATTTTCACTTCAGAGTTGTCCTTCTCCTAGACTGGTTACCAACCAACGCTACAAAGTCTATTCCTCCCTGGTATTTAAGAGAAGGGAAAAAGAATGATTTACGTCTTTCTCAAGAGCACGTGCGAAGTGAACGCAACAGCCTCGGTTTGAATTTGATCTCGCTTTCCTGATTCTATTTTCTTCGCTGATAACTATTCTGAAATCTGCACGACAATTGTTCATTAGAGCGAGGGAAAAAATGAACGAAACTTAAAAAAAAAAGAAATTTCAGAACAAATTTTTACAGGTCTGCGTTGTGGTATGATCCATTTTATCCATTAAGGGATCTGTACTGAACACATGCAGAATTCATTAAAAGTCGTCTGAGTCAAGCAGTCCAGTGTCTGTCTTCGGGCAGAGGGCGACTCAGTCGGGGCTCTACGGATGGAAACTCGGCTGAGAAGAATAGACAATAAATGTGCTCGTTCCCGCCGTTGCGAGAGCTGGGTAAATTTTGATCATTAGCCCTGTTAAGCAAATTCGTATTGTCTCAAACAATTCTTCTTCAATTTAATCAACTCTCAAAGTTAACCATTTTGATAGTGGCTAATTTACTCTGTCCAGAGAAACTTACTATCAACCCCAACACATCTGACACCGAACTAGAATATCGTCACTGGAGAATAACTTTCATAAACTTCCTGAGTACGTACTGCGACCAAATTTCTAATAAGCTGCACTATTTCACCAAAAATGAAATGGTCTCTAGACACTAGCTACAAGGCGTCAACTGCCCTCAGATTCAAGCCTTAATAGAAAATGAACCGTCCTTAAGTAAGGACTGTTCATTTTTTTCGGTATCAGCGGAACAATATCGAGCCGAATTAATACGAGATGCTTTCATAAATGGGTTACAGTCTACGGGTATCCGACAAAGAATACTCGAAAACAGCACCATAACATTACAGCAGGCCTATGACCAGGCAAGAGTACTAGATTTAAGCAGAACAAAATGTTAAAAATTATGATAGAATTGCAATAACGTCAAAAACCTCTCCACCTATTTTGCCACTCTCCCCCCACCGTATAAAACACTAGGCTCTTCAAAAATATCATCCTTAACTAAACGCACATGTTTTTTTTCTTCTGTAGGGGCAAGAGACATGCAAGGTCATTATGCCTCACTAGAAGGGACAAATGCTATACATGCAGAAAGCAGGGACATTGGGCTAAAGTTTGTACAAGTAAGAAAAAGGAGAGCACAATGGTAACTTGTTCAGAATCATTGAAAATAGCAGCTTATCAACTACAATGATAGAAATCAAGGCTAATGAACAGCCACTAAAAGCACTGATTGACACGGGGAGCACAGAAAACAATCTTAACACAAGCATTGTGAAACTAAATTTGTGGAAAATTTACCCATGCCTAAATAAAGTAGTGATGTCTAGCTCATCTCTTTCCATACAAATACTTGGATACTGTTTAGTAAAGGTTACTCTATACCAAGAAGTAAGATGTTTACTAATGAAAGATTTATGCTGCAACCTGATATTAGGGTACAACTTCTTACGCCAATATTCATTAGTAGAAATACCCTTCAGAGGCTCTAATCCACCCTTTAATATCTGCAGCCTAGCAACTATGAGAATCCCGTACCCAGCTCTCTTCAACAATTTAACACTGGATTGTAAACCGGTAGCTACTAAATCTAGGCGAAACACTAGGGAGGATAAATTATTTATTCAAACCGAAGTTACTCGTATGTTGAAGAAGGTATAATCAAACCAAGCTATTCGCCGCGGAGAGCCCAAGCCTTGCTAGTCTACTCTGAGAACAAAAAAAAAACAAAAAAAAAAAAACAACAAACGAATGGTAATCGACTATTCCCAGACTATAAACCGGTATTTGCTGGATGCCTACTCTCTGCGCTGAAAATAAACCTAGATTTTTACCATCCCAAAACCAGCAAGATCATAAAAGCCACGGAACCCCATGAAAGAATCGCACTGCTTCTGTCAAAAACTCCTAACAAATATACGCTGACGATAATTGACGAATTTTCGCGGTTTATCCTCTACAACGGTCATACGAACACTTTGCTCAGTTTTTGCCATCTTCGAGCTACTCTCATCTATTCATTCGGACGGAGGGGGTTCATTTATGACCGGACGCATACGGCGATTCCTCCACGAGCAAGGAGTTGCCATAAGTAGAACAACCCCATGTAACCCTCAAGGTAATGGTCAGTGCGAGAGGTATAATGGAATAATTTTGAAAACGGATCAACTAGAAGCTGCTGATAAAAGGGTAGCTTTACAGAATTGGGAGGAATTACTACCAGACGCCCTGCAACCCAACATGAATGCTTCCTTCCGTTTCCTAGAGGAAGTTCGACTGGAACGTCCGTACCGTCTTGGCTCTCGAAACCGGAAGTAATATTACTAAAATGACAGACGCGACTGAATAAGAACGAACCACTGGTGGATCAAGGGGAGCTTCTAGACGCCAACTCCCAGCAAGCGCGTTTCCGTTACCCAGATGTCTCACTAAGAGACTTGGATCCAGCATGGTTTGAATCAGGATCCACGTGCTTAAGTGAGGGCTGTCCCCAGGACACCTCAACTGACTTTGAAGAAACGGAATCATGGTCTCCTTTTGAAGATTACGAGAAGACCTTGAGCTTTAGTCCCTCGAATGGCAACGAACGGGTTTAACAGAAGAGAGCCCTTCCATCTACCAATACTTCAGAGGACGAGCAAGCCACCTATAGAAGATTATGAAAAAGCTGCAAGATTAAATCGTTCTCGCGAGAAAGAGGAAGAACTTCATCGTGCTCCTGGCAATCTGCTATGGCATCGCCGACAGCAAAGGATGCCTGCTCGATTCAAGGAGTTATTCCCTCTGTAAGAATCAGACAGGAGAGAATATGGTATGATCCATTTTCCCTATTAATGCATCTCTCCTCAACACATATATTCAGGATAACTCTGCTGTTATGCAGAGATCGTCAAACCTTCAGGATTGTGAACACGCTACTTGTCGACCTCTCTTCCTTTGTGCAGAAAGGAACTCAGACGAAGTGCAGAGTCTCATCTAGGGAGGTAGACAAACCAAGTCCCATTATTACGGTGTCTGCAGGGAATTTTTGTCTGAGCCTACAGGCTCGGATCACCCCTCGTAAAAAAAAACATCCCTACATGGTAAATACCGAGTTCGCTAAACGTCCGGGTTTGCGAACTATAGTTGTCAAGGTCTCTGCTTCCGGGCGGAGAGGAACCCAAACGAGTCTATGCCGAAGAGCAGAGTCTCGTATGGGGTGGGAGTGGAGGTAGACAAACCCGACCCCGTGAAGTCTACGGGGAATTTTTGATCGAACCTACGGGCTCGGAACACCCCACATAAAAACCGGCCTTGTGGAGAGGGCTTGGATAAATACCGAGTTCATCAACGTTTACTGTTAAGCAAATTCATATTTGTCTCAAACAATTCTACTACATGCTTCTTAAATAAACTTTATTATTTTTTCTTTTTAGATATGACCTGCCTGTATAATCATTTTGTGGACCCTCTTCCATTTAAAAAGGTTAGTGTTAATCTTATTTGTAAATAAATATAAAAAGCTTCTCCAACTCGTGTAATTCATCTTATATTAAGAAAAGTGTGCTGCCCCTAATACAAGCAAAACAAACATTTTTAGCTATATATAATGCATTTGTCAAGCAAAATAAAAATAATGTTTTTCATGCTGTCAATGTATATGGCAGGCTTCAAGAGGCTTTGAAAGAAGACATTAAACGAAGCATGCCTACTGATGTAAAACAAGACCTTTCATGAGTTTATTAAAGTTTGAGTGCATGAAACGGCATAGATTTTTGGTTCTCCGCTTGGCTTGAATTATTTTTGGTCGGTTCTATTATATCCACTTTGTAATGGACGACTTTTTGACGGAACCAGCTGAATTTATTGTGAAAACAAATACTGTCTGAAATAAACAAAAGTGATTCATAACTTTTCTTATTAGATGCTCAAGCATATTTCCTTTTCGTTCATGATATCTCTACAGGACTACATTATAATGAATCTTATGTGAAAACATTCGGAAAAAGTTATCGTAAATATTCAGTGATGAGGTTTATCAAAGCAATGTGGATGATTCTTTCGAAAGATAGATTATTGACATACGTTGTAGAATGACAGCAATGCACTTAATCTACTCAAGTACATGTGAAAATGACGTGGCTTCTACGTGAATCCACATGAAACATAAAACAACCAATAGGTTATAGTTGTCCGTCAGTCATTGAGCGCCAAGAGGTACATGCTTATTTTCAGGACATTTGCTTGATTCACACTTCTGGAGCTCATTGAATGGGGTTAGGCGCTACAACTACATCGTTGGATGGGGTCAGACGATTTGAAATAAGGAAACCTCATCCCTTGTTCGATCTTTTTATCGATCATATGAGTAAAGCAAGATATATTTTGCTCTCCTCCAAACAAGTGGACATAATATTGCTCGTCGTTTCACGACTTTTTCTTATATTACATTAATTTAAAATTATAAAGACAAAAAAAATGAAACTAATGACAATTAATTTGTCGCCTACTTGTGGAGCAATGGTTAGCGCATTCGATTCTCACGTCATGGAGTAGTGGTTATGAAGCTAACTTAACAGATCCTGACTACTGTCTGTTGAATTCAATCCTCACTAGGTGCCACAGACTGTCAACGTGTTATTCATTTAAAATTGCAACTGTCAATTATACTATGACCAATATTTAATAAAGTTTACTAACTTAAGTATCATTTATCAGGAACAAAAACTAATAATACATATTTTTTTTGTTTACTAAAAATCCACTTACAGGTGCCTGGGTCTTTGCACTTGTAACTTCCGTCTAAGGTCATGATAGAGCAATCTCTCCGTTCAATTGGTATTACTTCTTCCCAGTCATCACCGTTCTTTCTGAAGACACCGAAACCAATATCGTGTTCTTCAGTCTTGTATTCCCATCTGGAAAAGAGAGAGAAACAATGTTTAGATTAAATTGTATCACATGAAAATGTTGGATTTTAACAGGAAAGTAAAACACTACATTTTAAACAAAGAGAACGTTCTTTTAATAGGCTTTCAATTATCATAAAGGATCCATTTTTCATAACAATTACGTGTTTTATTGATGCTAATAAACAGTGACGGGCACATTTCAAAACAACGCATTTTTTGGGTTTCTGTCAATTCGTGTGGATTTCATTTGTCTGATTTTCTCACCTTTCCCATTGCATTCAAATGATGAGAAAAGGGCATAAGAAAGAGATCGAATTGTTTTGAATGTATCTTTATTTTTCTCGCAGATATTTCTAGAACCTTATTCTGAATATTCTCATTTCTGAAGTCTATTTTCTAAAACCATCGATGTACTTTCCGCTTGTTAGCAGTTCTTTCTCCAACTACTAAACTGGTGTTTCTTTTTCCTTCAGCCGAATTGCGTCCTGTTTAAATTCTTGTAAAAAGAATCACCGTGCTTACTAGAGAGTGAAACAACTTTCTAATAAACGGATCACCAAGAAAGTGACAGACGTAAGTCATTTGTTATAATACCCTTTGTATGGTTACGCATTTCAATTTATCTTGATAACACCAAATTATAAATCATCGTAAATCTACCATTTCATGTTGTTTATCCATTCCATCCTATGGTTGTACAAACGAACATAACATTACAAATGAGAAGATGCAAAAATGAGTTGATTACTCTCGAGAACCAAAATTCCCAACGGTTTGACTATTCCAAACGGCACTTGTATTTGGAGCAAAAGACATTTCTGTGACGAGGTGTCTATACATATTCAAAATGTTTTATAGTGTTAAATATTTATTAAAAACAACTTCCATTGACTACTGAAAGATCTGTTTTGTTTTATTTACATTTCAGCGTCTCCCTAATAGAAGTTTTCAAGTCTCTTTTATCGATTAAACCTACTTTATTCTACAGAGCTTTATATCTATGTTCCTGATTCGGTCTTTTTAACGATTTCATCTCGCAAATCCTTTCACCGGCATCGTGGATTTAGTCTCGCAAGAACCGTACTAATATGGCCTTGTGCCAGGCTAAGCCACATTTACGCTTAAACGATTGCTTCACAAACGTTATAAGGAGTTATTAACAATTGTCGCTATCTTAGTTTCATCTAAATTTTTCAGGTGTAGTATTTCAAAATTAAAATGATTTGCATAGCTTAGAAAATAAAATCCAATTCTCCTTCTATTTCAGAATTATTACTTGCTCTTAGATGTCTAATAGAAGGGAGACGTTTATTTATTGAGAAAATTTTCCGACCCCCAAGCTTTTAAAACCACTTCCCGCTTATTAATTTCGCATTTTTAACCCTTTAAATTATTTTCCGAGCCTTTTTTATTATTATTAAAATCTCCTGTTTATTGCATTGTAAGAAAAATTCCGACTATCCGTTTATTAGACACTAAAGGGGAGATAGATAAATTTTTTGCTTTAGGAAATTTTTCACCCACCCCCGAGTTTATGAAGACCACCCTGTTTATTAATTTCGCATTTTTGACCTATTAAATGATTTTCCGACCCCCCACTTTTTTTTTTAATCAAAACCCCCGTTTATTGTGTATGGAGACAAATTCCGTACCACCATCATTAAGAACCTTTCTTTGTATTAAGCACTTAAAAGTAAATGTTTTTGGTGATTACAAAGCATCAACTATTGAAGAGGTACTTACTTAAGGAAGGAATCTTCATTTTCAACTTTATATTCTACATAAACCTTGTCGCCACTTCCAACAGTAATTGCTTCCATTGTTTCAAAGTCTTCTGTGTTCTCCAAATAATATTCCGTTGGTACTTCTCCGCCATGGCAAATCTGCGAAAGATATGAAGAGTTTGCTTTAAACAAGGAAAACATCAGAAACAACAAATCTATAAGTGTGTTTGGGTCTGTGAGTGTGGCTAGCTAGATTTAATTATAAGACAGATGAAGATCAGTCTTCCCCCATCCCCCCTTTTGGCCTTGTGCCACATTTTTGTATTTCATGCAAAACAAATATCACTTTCCGCCTTGGTACCTCAACCGCATGAATTGAAGCGTACTACTAGATTGGCAATTAGGTCTCATTGTTTTACTGTTGAAATGGCTAGATGTTATCGGAACTTCCATTTTAATAGTTTTTTTTTTCTTGTACTTTTCACTTGTGGAACTTTCTTTTGGGTTCTTACTTCCTCTACCACTTACGATCTTCAAAAATTTAAATGCAGCATCAACCACCCTCTTGTATATTTACAAAATTTGTTCTTTTATTGTCCTTTCTCCTCACTAACATTTCTCTCATTTTCTTCCACTCACAGCAGCACCTGGCGTCTTAGTGACATTATCATTTTGCTTGGGATGAAATGATTAAAAAAAAAAGATATAAGTTTACAATAGAATTTAATAAATAAAAATAAAATGTTGCCAAATAACGTATTATTTTATTTTAGTTCTAAACCTCGATGCCAAAAAAATGAATAAAAGAGTAATGAATTTAAAATAATTTTAATTCTCCGATGAATTAACTTTTAAAACTTACATAACTTATTTAATAAATTATTTTAATAAGATTTTATAAGTGGCATGGATGCGTAACGGTTAACGCCACGGAAAGCGGAATCAGGGTGCCGAATTCAAATTCTGTCTGCGACTGTTTCCTTCACTTCACATAAATCCATCTTCCTTCAGCTATGGGTTAAATAACATGTAAAATTTGACTGTCTTGTCATAGGTATCGGTCAATCCAGAGAGAAAAATTTGAATTCAAACTCTCGTAAATAATCAGGTAGATCGGACTCTTTAGTCTTTGTATGATAATCAGTTAAGGAGAAGGACGACTCTGAATTGAAACCAGCCTAAAAGGGATGGGCTTCATTAGCTAACACAGGCTGTAGTACATAATGGGTTACGGAACTCGTGATCGTTCATAACTTTATATAAAAGAAAATATTTCTAACAATATTTTTATTTACAAGGAAACGTTTTAATAAATAATTTCACTCATCAATGTAATAAGTATAAATGTTTTCTCAAATTTCAATACTTATTTAAAAAGAATAGAAATTACACGCAGTTCGCAACAGACCTTCAAGGAAGCCAGATGCAAGGTTGATCTGGGATTAATCCAGGCTACCGAATGCAGAAGTACGTGAACTCACATCTGCATCCATTATTGCAATCGGGAATATTGGACAGATAGATATATAAACAGTTTCAGGGATGTTTTGGGCAGCCTATCACACATTGCTGACAGAGTGTAAGGTCTACGAATCGGACCGATGGAACTCGCACCATAGATTAACCAGGAATAACTGGTGAATCATTGGAGTGGATAAAATGTTATGTAATGAAGATTCAAGCTACGTATTTTTATTTAATCGGCGACACCGAATGATTGCATAGTCATTCAAATGTTTTCTTTAATCATTTGCTAAAAATAATGTACCAGATGAGTTAGAGTTTAATTTTTATTGCTTTGCTAAAAATTATTGCAGAACATTTTAATCATTATGTTGTATAAGAGAAGAATTGCGTCAGATCAACCCTAGACACGCATAACTGATTGGTAGAATACCAGAAACCGAAGTCAACTTACAACATCTGAGCATTTCGCGTCACCATCAGGCCCAGTCTTGGTTCCGCCCAAATAAGCTGGGAGTTCTTCAGCATCGATGTATTCCAACAGTGTGTCTTTGAAATCACCTACAAAAACAGAACAAATATTCGAATTTGATGCAAACACTAATACGCTTGTGTAGATTTTTGAGACAGTATTCTTACTATTATACAATAATTTTTTCGAACCAATCTCTTGGACTCAGTTTGTATTAATCACAGTGTTTCAGCCAGTGTACACTCTAGCCTTCATCAGGTCATGTCGCATTCGTAAAACCAGTAATAGCGAGTGTAGCCTGTATTTGAACAGCGAGTATAAGTTGCTTTTATTTGTATACCTGCTTGCATCCAATATCCTTCCAAGGGCATTTTCAAATTTTATAACAGTTAATTCTTTATTATGATGTCGGATTCTGTTTGTCTCTCCCGCTTATAAACTGATATGTATGCACTACCTGACCCGGGAATTGACCACCTGACTTCCAGGGAACCAAATGAATTACCAACACTTTTAACCATTAGATCGTGCTCCGTAACAAGCCCGGGGCGTACAGTGACTGAAGCGTTGTGATAAAAACAATGAAACTCACTCAGAAGAATCGATGTATAATGATAATCTTGTAAGTAAAACAGGTAAAGTCAAAATTCCACTTACTTCCGAGAACGAAAATCTTGTTTTTCATATCCTCACTGAGGAGAGGTTTGACGAGTTTGTAGAGAACAGGGAAAAGAGTTGGGGCTGTAAGAAAAAAATAACGTTCATAAACATTAAGCTATTTTTTATATCTTAAAGTTCACATAATACAAAGCCAGAGAGCCACTCAAGGTAAAAAGATTACAGTCAATGAAATAGTAATTCTATATGAAGAGTGTGATATGAATGGAAGAGAAGGTGGTAAGAAATGAAGATTATAAATTTAAGGAGGAAAGATGACCTTTGACTTGAAGAGGTCAATACTGAAATGATCAAGGAAGCAACCAAACGAGAATCTATTCTATAAAGTGGCAGTTCTTAGGGAAAATGCGTTAAGAATTTAGAACATGGAGAAAATTAGGATGATTCAACTCCGTGGAAGTAGCGTGACGTATCATAGCTGTGATGGTCCTAACTGGTGCGACTAAAAGAGAATGGAAAGATTTGTCGTGAATGTAGCGATTGGGAAGCGACAGAGTACAATGTATGTATGCGTGTACAATGCTATCGCACACTTGATACAATGCTTAGGTTCAGTGAGGAAATGGTGGCGAAAACATGACCCTTGTGTACAATGCGTCCTTTGACTTTTCATATTTTAAAACGTATACAAATTGAAAGCTTAACCTGTAATACATCATAAGAGAATTTTACTGGTAAGTCCCCGATATACAATTTGGATGAGCCGTCTATATTGGTTTTATGGTCTCATGTGATATATTTAGATTTCCAACAGGGATTTTAAAAATTGCACCAATTTTAATAATTGTAGCAACACAGTTTAAAATCAGTATACATATGCTATATGCATTATATTTAATAGTAGGGTTGTCGGGTCGACCAGAAGTTTCTGTCTCAACAGTCAGGAGTCAAATGACCAAAATCGGTCATTTGCGCATTGGCTCCGAGTGTCACTTCCAGTATCAATTCGAAAATATTCGAAATATAATGTAAATTATTAATCGATCGCTGACAGCGTTTACCTCGTATTTTGAGGGACTTTTTGTGAGCTGGCATCTGCATAAGGGAATCTATAAATACAGACCATAAAGCAAACAAAAACCAGTTGGAGTATGAATTCCTCGTTGTTAACTCAAACGGATTACTAATCAACTGAAACATTTCCCGTTTTTCTGATGTATATTCCACAATGGAGATAAAGTAGGAACTTCCTCCTTTCATGGAATTTTATTGTGAAACACACCTCAATGTGTGTCTAACAACTTTTCCATCTCTTATGGATTTTACTAAACACAACTCAGTGTGTGTCTATCAACTATTCCATTTCTCATGGACTTCATTAAACACACCTAAATGTGTGTATGTTAGCTTTTCTCTTTCAAGGGTGTATTTAAAAACACCTCAAATGTGTATATGTGAACTCTCCTTTCTTTTCAAGGGTTTTATTATATGCACGATTCGATGTATAAGATATCCAAATAAATTGTTATTTGTTGATAAATAAATCTTTATCTTCAGTTTCATTTTAAATTCACTTGTTTAAATACATTGCTTCACCATTGCGTTGTTACGCCTGTTTCTATGTATGTTGGGTCAAGATTGTTTTATTCGGGACTGTACCTGGAATAATTATTAATCACTGTTACTACCTTAAATGAGTTAGCACCAACCATATATCACCTTCTGCACTCCATAAATCAATAAGTATCACCCGGCACTCCGTAACAGGGTTAATAGTTTAATTTTATTATCTTATTTCTTGAGTTTTTATCGATCTCAGAAGAGTTATTGAATTTTATAAACTGGTGTTTGTTAATTTGACCATCCGTAATCCGAGGGAAAAATTTTTTTTGTCGCTTTAGAAACTACTTTAAAACTATTTCTAGTGTAGAGATTTTCCAAGCGTAGCTTAGACGTGGCACAAGGCCGAAAGTATGGGGCATCCAGTGAGGACAGAACTCACTTTTCAGTAGTAACTGATCTAGCAAGATCAAGCTTGCTAACCATTACACCACGCCGAGGTTCCCAACTATTTCTAGTGTATTGTGGTGGCCGTTCCTATGTTGATCTTCTAAATTGATTGGATTGACCATAAATTTTTAGTCTTTGTTGTTAGATGACATATAGTTTGAACTGACTTCATTCCAAAAAAAGTTGGTTTTGATTGTGTTGTAAGAGCATGCATTTTGAAAAAAATTTAAAGTTGTTTTAACTGGTTCTCTCAATGGAGAGGTTATCAACGTGTTAGAAGTTATAAAATAAAGCCTAGCTTTCTCAAGAATTTTAAATGTTTTCTTTTAAAACAAAGTGGGTTCGGTTTGATTAATGATATAGACCTTAGAAGAGTTCCTGCATTTAGTTTATGCTTATGAAATATTTAAAGGTAATATCTGAAAGTTACTTCTTATTTGCATAAATATTGTGATGCGTAAACATTACGTAACCAGCAAATGAAGGTTTAGCATCAAATATTCCTAAAAAAAAAAGGAACGTTTAAAGCCGACAAATTAACCTTATCAACAAATTTTGTATTCGTATGAGTTTAATAAAATAACAGAAAAGCAAATGTATTTTACGTATCAGTGATTTTACAAGTACACGAAAGACTATTCGTGGTGGCTGTACGAAGGGTGTTGAAAAGTACTCGACCCGGCCAAGAAGATTCCAAAATAAATTCTAGTATTTGTTTAGACTTTGGGAAGTGAATCGGCCCGAAAACCTTTCCTCACTCTTCGTATATTGTAAAAGTTTTGCTAAAATTCTACACAGCCGAAAGAAACAATAAATAAAAAATCCTGTTCCATTAATTATTCGAACTCATATCATTATCTTTATTGTTTTTATCAAAATAATTTATAAAATATTGCTTTCTTTTAGAAATACAGACGCAACAGTTAATAATCATGTTTTTCAGGCACAGGAATTGTGATGAGTAAAGGTGAAAGATGTATTTAATACAATAAGATCGGAACGCAAGCGAAATCGTTAAAGAAATAAAAAAAAACATCTTTATCAATTGTTTCTCGATTTCAAAGATTTCACTGATAGATGCTAGATCACGTGAGGTCAAAAACATCATTAAATATCTTTAGTTTTATTAAGAGAGCATAAGAAAAAGAAGAAGCATATGTACCGTTGATGACGAAAAGTCTCTTCATCATTTCTGGGTAATTATCTTCCAAGACCTTGACCAAGTAGAGGTACATGTCAAGACCGGGTTTCCACATGTGTTTGGAACCGACATTATCCATATCGAAGACAACGGTCAAACCGGTGCAAGGTTTCCCAAGCTGTGGAAAGAAAAAAAGCAAATTAATCCGCTAAAGAAGCCTACCTGGGAACATCTGGTTCTACTATGTAAATTGCCCTATTTTTTATTACATATTAACCGGTTATCTATTGTTAAAAAACAAAACAAAACAAGAACAAGAATAATTTGTCTATTGTTATAGCTTCAGTTATTAATTTCCAAGAAAAGAAAAGTGATTTGATCATTTTGAAAATTGAGACTGCTCAACTTGGTGTGAGCGGTCTAAAGACGAGTACAAATTTCGGCTGGGACAATGTGTTTATCCACTTCACACTAATAAGATTGGGAAAGGCGTGATTCCATTTTCTCCCTTCCAGCTATAAGTTAAATAACAGCGCAGATTCTGTTCTCTAGCCTTGGCCTGAAACCAATCCAGGTGAAGGACAACTCTGAATTAAAAAAAGTACGATATATTTCCCCCAGTTTACGCATATTGAAATGAAAGGGAAGCCACGAGCAACTAAGGCCGCCTACGTCATTAAGAAACACGGCATTAAAAAAATGATCACTTTAAATCAGTGTTGTACAAAGTTAAAAAAAAAGGCTTTCTTACTTTTTCGCTTATAGCTTCCAAGTCTTTAAGATGTTTTTCGCATTGGAGCAATTTGCTTTTCTCCAAATCGGATTTTTTGCAAGAATACATGATTCCTTTCATATCCAGGTAACCCCATGGTTCAATTCGCAGAACTGATCCTTCCTTGTCATGGCCAATATCACCGCCAGTCATGTATTTACTGATTACCTGAAAAACAGGACGGTAATAGAAAAAAGTGATTAGATGTATTAATAAAAGCGAAGGCAACATTTACTAGATTCTTTGCAATACTAGGAAAATAAGCTTTATATCTAAACGTAAAAGTAAAGTCTAATGTAAATATTTATTGTTCGTGCGTATATATATATATATATATATATATATATATATATATATATATATATATATATATTTTTTTTTTTTTGGGGGGTGACAATGTTAGGCAATTGAATGACAAAGTGGAAAATTTTGTGTAATGCATTTTGTCCTCTAAAATTCGTTACACTGAATTTTTACACTGTCATTACACACGCGCACACACACACACACACATATATATATATATATATATGTAGGTTGCGGCAATAATGATCCTCTTTTTTCGAGCTGCGGTGGATAGGACGACGTGGGGCAATTGAGTAGCCATCACAATCATCAGACCTAGTATCACAAGACATTTTCTTGTGGGCTGTACTGAAAGATCTTGTTTACATTCTCTGACAGAAGAACAATTCCTGAATTAAAACAAGTAATTTCTGATGAATTTTCTTAAATTAATGTATAAATGCGTCAAATGGTTTGTGGAAGTGTTGTTGATAGGGTTCAGCGTTGTATTGCACGCGAAGGGGGCATTTTGAACATGTTAACTTGTTTATTAATCATAACAAATCAAATTGCTTTGATGTGAAAATACTTATAAATTTTCTCAAAATAATGTAATTTATTTTGTTCAATAAAAGTTAATAAATAAAAAGAGCGTTACTTTGTTACTTTTGCCGCACCATCTATCTATCTATCTATCTATCTATCTATCTATCTATCTATCTATCTATCTATCTCTCTCTCTCTCTCTCTCTATATATATATATATATATATATATATATATATATATATATACTATTTACATTGTTCGGACTATTGTCTTCATCTTTTTATCATATTTATCACAACGTTTCGGCCGTTGTACGGTCCGGCCTTCTTCAGGTGGTTGGAATGTCGAACTGAACCTCAAGGACACATGGCACAGTGGATAAAGGCGTTAGCTAGATCCAGTGACAGGACCCAAACAGTGTGAATTCAATACCTGGTTAAGGCGGTGGAGAACTTGAAGAAGGGAATTGATAACTGACATCCATTAGACATAGCACGTGGAACTAGAATAGTCTACCCCACGAGCGAAATAAAGGGTTCAGTTTGACATTCCAACCACCTGAAGAAGGTCGGAGCGTACAACGGCCGAAACGTTGTGATAAATATGGCTGGTCCGAACAATGTAAATAGTGTACATAATACCTCATTTCAGAAATATGGACATATATATATATATATATATATATATATATATATATATATTGAAATGTGTTTATTTAAATAGTGTACATGCATCTTTTTTCTTTTTAAGAGAGGAAAATCATAGAATCTCGTCATTCAAGCATTTTCGAAATGATTTTGAAGAAGATATGAAAAAAGGTATATTTAATATACCAATTGTGGTTCATCTTAGGCTGGACTATCATAGAGAGTGAAAACCAAAGCCATTGATTTATCAAACAGCAAAATAACGGTGTCTAATTGCAAAGATTCTGACAAGACATAATTTCGAAAACTTTGATGAAGAACAGAATGTCTTATGTAGTCTCGATTTGTTATTCGATTATTGCGCTTTTATTTTCCATATTTTAAAGAAAGATGAATAATAACATATGTATAAAATTTACTATTTATTTTCGTATCTCTAAAAAATATATATATATGTCAATATTTAAGAGTTTAAATATACAAAGTACAATAGTAAATTTGTTAAAGATTTGTCAACGATTAACATTACTATAAACCTCAACACAATATCTCCCTTCCCTTCAATCGTTATCACAGAGACTTAAACACGATTCTTAGTCGTCTGATTAAGTTCAGGGAAAGCCTAAAACTCTGACCCACTTACAACTTCTGATTATTTTTATCGGATCTTAGTTGAAAATCTTCAGGATTATCAAATAATCTCCCAAAAGATCGAACGGCAAAAGCACAGATTATCTTTATAGCTTATTGTTAAGAGATAAGATATGATCATTAAATCTTATTAATTGATGCCCATTCATGCCAATATGGCATAGGCTCAAATGAAATAAAGATGAAAGATAAAAGAAGCCTTAGTTGGTATTGGAATTAGTTGTGTGAATAGATTTTATAAGGACAAAGATGGTGTGAGTGAGTAGTGTGATTATGAAAGCATAATGCTGCTCTTAATAGCTTGTAACTATGCAAGTAAAATTATAAATGTTACCCTTTTAGATTTCAATAGACATAACTTCAGAATTATGAATTAGCATTGATATCTGAGAAGTTTGAGAAAGCCTACCTGCCCCAAAATGTTTTGGCCATGTATGTTAACATATGTATAACCTTATGACATACATGAGCGTCTTGTGACTTATTGTGTATCCATTCATGTTTTTTCATAAAATTTATCTTTTTTTTTCATAAGGTTTAACCTGCTGTTCTTTTCTATTTCAATTATTTCTGAAAAATAAACCTGTATTATTAACTATTTTACTTTGATTTGTAGAGGTTTTTATTTAACTTATTTTGTGCTATGACACACAATTACGTTGCATAGCACAAGGGAGAGAAAAAGCTAGTACTAAGGGCACACACTAGAATCATTTTTATAGTTTAATAGGGGCAATTTAATATTTCCAAAATAAAGCATAAATCGCCTTATATAGCAATATTTTTGTGGCATCTCTAACAAAAACATAGATGGTAATATTTAAGGATTTAAATATCCAAGGTAACAGTGAATTTGCTCAAGTTTCCTCAAGGATTATTGCATACGATGTCGGAGTCTGAGCGCCATATTGTACAAAATAGATATTTCCAAATCACTTTCTCGGGTTTACAGTCATATCACGTTGAAAAGCCGATTCTCGTACGATCATCGAAGTTAAGCAACGTCGAGCTTAGGCAGTACGTAGATGGGCGACCGCTGGGGAATACCACGTGCTGTAAGCTTGAATGTGCGTGTGGTGTAATGAATTGGAAATCGGAGAGCCGAGTTCCAATTCCCGTCAGGTTTGTTATAGTCACAGGCACAAATAACCTTGCGAAAGGTATGAATACACCTCTTTCTTCCCCAGCTATGTGTTAATTAGCAGAAGTTGTATCAGTAAATCATTATTATCTTCTAAAACCTCTTACAATCTAAATATTTTCTGGCTTTAAATAACCTTTAAAAGATTGATAAACGGTAAAAAAATCAAATCAATTCAAATCTCTTTCTCAGTTTTTCGGACAAAATTTTAAGAATATAAATAGAAATACGATTTAAATCGAAAATTATTTATTAGTTCAAAAATTAATTTATAATTAGGTATGATAAATTATATTCATTTGTTGTATTCCAATGTTGTTTTATTGAGAGTGAAAAAATTACTCCTTTTGAATAGTTGAGATTCTTCATCGCTAATATTGTATAATATATCACACCGTCGTAAGTCTTTCTCGTTAGCTGTCATAAGTTATTCTCAGTAACTGACTCTATTGCGAACTAAAGTAGAAGTATCTATGAATTCACACATTATTTTTGTGTGTCTCTTTATAGACTGTCATATTACAGAAACATTAATACATCATTAAATGCCTACGTTTTCGGAATAAACACAGAAAGTCTCTAGAAATAAAGTGACTTTTAACTCTAGAGAATTCCAAAGATTGTGTAGCAATAAAAACAGCAAAGATTTTAATATTTAAGCCGATTGAAACTATTAACTTAAAAGATAATAATGGACAAAACATGGCTGCACAGTAAAACATCAAGTAATTTCGCTATTTTTTTATTACCAGTAAAAATCTCATAACACAATATTTTCTCATTCATCTTATAACACAGTTTAGCCTGTCTGAAGTTATTATGCAAATCAAATAAACCCCAATAACTAAAAAAGTTCTGATCCAATATTTGTCAGATTTAAATTCGTCTATTTTCACCCTAAGTAAAATACTTAAACTTTCTGCCATTTTTAAATGGTTAATTTTTGAGATATTTGGAATTTACGAAAATGGATTGACTGAAATTAGTATGAAGATTGAACTAATATTAGCTTAAGACTCCTGAAATCTAATAAAAACTGTTTTCTTTTTGTCCATAATTTATGTTGAAACATGGAAGGATCTAGCAACTGCTGAAAAACAGATCCTTGAAATGGATGGAATTGAGGGAGCCAAAAAGGACAAAAGGTGTAGCATACTTTGTGAATTAGAATCTGTAAAAAAATCTCCTAGGCAACCTCCTTTCACTAAAGCAAATATTTTAAAGCGTCAAAATTTGGCCAAGAAATACACGAAAATTTACTTTTCTAAAGTAATTTTCACGGACGAATCTCGAGTGACATTTGATAGACCTGATGGATATGCTAAAGGATGGATTTTGTCCAATTCAGGCATGACTGTGGCTAAAGGAAGGCAACAAGGAGGCGGTAGTTTTATGATATGGACTGGAATTGTCCACTAAACCATTACTGGACCATTCAAAGCCGATAAAGGAGTTAAACTGAATAGTGCTAACTATTGTGAATTTATGAACAAAACTTTCTTTGCATGGTACAAGTCCCAGCCTCTCAGTTTCAAAGTAAAGTGTGTATTTATGCACGATAGTGCTCCTTCTCATGTATCTAAGCTTACCCATGAATATCTTGAGATAAAAGATTTACAGGAGAGATAATAATGGGATGGTCACCATCAAGCCCTGATATGAATCCAATCGAAAATCTATGGTCAATTGTGAAGATGAAATTATATGAAGGTGGCAAACAAGATAGCAGCAAAGCAGAACTATGGGAAGCAATTAAAACTACCATGTCGGAAATTGAACATTCTGAAGGAAAAAAATAACAAAATCAATGGATAATAGATTACTGGCTGTTATTGAGAAGAAGGGTCACTATATTAGCATGTAAAGACTTATCATATATGTCTGTTATTTGTTCTATTATAGGTGTTGATCAATTTTTGATGATTTTATTAACATATTATTGAAGTAAAATGTGATTATTTGGCTTTGCTTAATAACTTCAGACGGCAGGTTTTTAGAATCCATAAAATAACTTCAATAAAACATATTGATATTTACTAAAATTTTAACTCAGGCTTGTTTTGATATCTAAATTGATTGTTTAAAATCTGATAATTTTTTTCAAGCTGAATTGGAATTATTGAAGTTTATATGACTTGCTTAATAACTTCAGACAGTGTATTTTCTCATAGATCCGTTTCTATAATTTACTCAGTTACAATGTTCTTTATTGAAGATTCTTGCCACAAGATCTTAAATTAAGGTATTAAATTGGTGGATCCAATCTGCCAAATTAAAATTTCATGACATGTCAATCTTTGTGGATTAATTTGTTCTTGGGCAGCACATTTTTCGAGTGAAGAAAAAGGAAACAGACTCCTCTTCCTCCACCCAAGAAAGTCTCATCTTTCGAGCTTCGTCTTCACTTACTTTCTCCACTTAAACTACGAGTAAGAGTGAATTTGAATGACGAAGATATTGGCAAGCTGGCGCATGCGCAGTTATAGGTAAGGTATATGCGTGGCCGGCTATTAACAGTGAAGTATCGTTATTTCGCGCGTCAAATCCAGATTTTGTAAAGATTTGATAATATTTCTCTTCCGAGGGTGCATGCTTTTGCCATAAAATATAACACTTGAAGCCTAATTAGAACTAAACTTACCACTGATGTATTCACATGTGTTTCTTATATATTATTAGAAGTGGATATGACTTTGGAAAGAAATACAGGCTTCATCACTAATAGTTGGTAAATGTAATTCTTAGAATGTTGTCGTTTTAAGTTCTTCAATATAATGAGGCAAGTAAGCAGCTAAAGACAATCTATACATGGCAAACCTCTCTTGATAGATAGGCACCACCAAGTAACCCACTCGACACCAATGCACCGGGGAATTACTATACAGGTCTTTTCATATCTATCTATCTATCTATCTATCTATCTATCTATCTATCTATCACATATTTTTCATATCTATCACAGACTATTCACATCTATCTAAAAATCTACCTATCACAAACTTTTCATATCTATCTATTTATCTATCAATCACAGGGAATTCTTTTGCTAAGTCAATCAATAAAAGTATGTTGATAATTGTTACATTAAGCCTCTTTTGTTTCTACTACAAATCAATTGTAGAAAATATAAAAAAATGATCTATTATTAAATGTATATACCGGTAATAGATAGCGGCTCATAAGGATAGCATAATATAAAGATACTCAAAGTTTACTATTAAATCATAGTGAAAACAGTCGGAAACTACTGCGATAGAAATAAGATCAGAAATATTATCAAGATGTTTTAGTTACACTGGGTTAAATAGTAGGATATCTTGAGTCTTATAGCCTTGGTTTGCAACCAGTCTACTGTAGAAAGTAACAGCAGCCTACTGCGGGAATTATTTTGCTAAGTCAATCATGAATCGAAGAGAGACATGATCGCCCAAGCAAGAATGACGCATGGAACATAAGAAAAGGAATTAATAAAGAAATATCTTTACCTCTGGTGGGGTGTACTCAGCAATCAGTTTGTCGGCTTCCATTTGTTCTCTGAGACTCATGCTCTGAAAGGAAAAGAGAAAAGCAAAATAAATCACAAAATACATAGAAAGCAATTAAAATAAGATTCCATGCTCAAAAGAGTTCCCCACTACACACACACACACTTTTTCGGTTTCGAGTAAATACTGTGTTTCCTTTACTAAAAAACAGAAAAGAAATTCAAATATAAAAAAAAAATAAATAAAAGTATGATGAACGACATCAATATATAGGGATACCCTGCCGAGTTCAAAAAGGAAATTTCTCGGAGTAATGAAGTTACATTTCCTCTCCAAATGACATGTGACAGGTTATATTGGTTTACATGCTACCAGCAGTATGGAGTAACCCCTGCTTGAGACATAGAGGACTATATGCAAATAGATATTTCTTTGGACAATTGTGGATTTTAGACTAATACACCAATATTTATTTACTAATCTTAAACTAGTTTGACACAAGTACTGAACTCCCAATGAGGATCGACTCCATTACAACAGAAATTGTTTGCTAACCGCTACTCTACAGTAAGGTGTCCAATGAAGAGTTACATCAAAAAAAATAAAATACCTATGATAGCGATAAAACGGTTTGATAATGTAAATATCTCTTTAGACAGTGTGCGTTACTATAAGTTTAAGATGATTATGATTTTGTGAATAGTTTTTCTTCCTTTTACTGTTTCTTTTTATAACAATACTTTGATTCAATACAGTCTTCATTATTATTTTATTAACAGTTTTATTCCATCTTATTATTGCTTATTTTTATCACAATATACTGGGCCGATACACTCTTCATTATTACTATTATTTTATCATTAATTTTAATAAATCTTCTTGTTGTTTTTTATCACCACACACTGGACCGATACACCTTTCAACTGCAAAAGTAAACAACGCGAAGTAAGAATAAAGATATAACTTCTGTCAATGTATTTTGGTCCCCCAGTGTTTACTTTTACAGTCGAAGAGTGCATCGATCCAGAATCTTAGGATAAAAAGCAATAAAATATTTAAAAATAGCTTCCTCAGTAATAATTTTTATTGAATTATTAAATTATGTTCCTTAAAAATGTCAGAAAACTTCATTAATGTAGATTTTGCTTACTATCTTAGATTTTTACAAGAATTTAAAATAGGTTTGGTTTAAAAATCTTTTTTGTTTTTAGGTATGTGAACTACATTTTCGACCCGAAGACATAAGGAGAGAATCGTCAGACTTTGACGAAAAAACATGAGCCACAATTGCAGTTAAACTTCAGAAAATATATCTTCATAGTAGTGCTATCCCTAGAATTCTACCAAACTGTCTCTCATATTAATCTTTAATGACCACGTCCAGAGAGTCACCAGATTCTAAGAGAATTCAGCTGAAGAATTCTGCCTTTAAAAGTGCTTTAAATCAAAATATTACTGATGACTTAGAATACAAATAGCAGAATAAATTCCATAATATTAATGATCTAGAAGAGAAATTAAATTTTCTTGATAGAAATTACTGGAATTTTGTTAGGCAACAAAAGACACTTATTAGATGTAGCATCATCAAATCCACATATCCAAAAATCAATCTGTCTCTTGTAATTGAATCTGATTTTGCAGTATATATGTTTTGAAGAGATGTGAAAATGAATACAATAGGGGACTATAAGATTCCTAAATATGTATCAGATCAAAATACTCTTAAAATTCTGATAGAAACATGAAAAGAATGGATACAAATCCACAGCAAAGCAAACCTCAAAATGTGTTTTCTATATTAAAATCGGTAATGTCGTTTCTACCATTGATGCAAGAAGAATCAAACAAATGTTTTAATTCGATCAAATTTATATATGAACAGCTAAATTTAATGACACAGAATAATTTTGATTATTCAACAGAAATGATGATATTTTCTTCATTTTCTAAAGGGTACAGGTTGTTAAGAGAAAACATAAATATAATTTTACCTAGATATTCAACCACTAAAAGACTAACCTTATCAACATATATGAATCCTTTGATTGAGCAACAATTTTCTTATGTATATTAAAAATAAATTTATTTTAGTAGTAGAGAAAGACACCACAGTATCTTTACTTGTTGATGAAATTCAGCTAAAACCGTATTTTGATTATAAGGGTGGTAATATTGTTGGCTTATCGGACAACAGCAATGGAGCTGCAACAAGTGCTGTTATGCTTAGCAGTATTTTCACAATATAAGGATGTTGTGCATGTTATGCCAACAAAATATCTTCAAGCTGAAAATTTATTTGACATAGTTAAACGTATAATAATTGGTATAGAGGAGATAGTCTTTCAAGTATTATCAATCATAACAGATAATAATGCTATAAATAAAAAAGCTATATCTTTCTTTTGTAGTCCACAAAAGCTTTCAATTGTATATCCATACCCAGTTATGAAGTCTAGACCTGTTTTCTTCTTATTTGATTTATTCCATATATTAAAATGCATTAGAAACAATTGGCTTGGTCAAAAAGATGCAAGTAAATGTATGTTTTCCCCAAATTTTGTCATAATGAAATCATGAAGTAGGTAATATTCAAAGTGTCCCAAAAAGAAAAGTTTGCCTAATTATGCTGAAGTAGCAAAATATATAAACATATTTTATGCTTGGTGGACAATACTGAATGTCAAAACACCATATAAAGTTTGTCAGCTTAGAAATTAGTATTGTAATCCACTTAGAGTTAATGAAAAAAAACTTAGATTTCTCTCTGTATTCTGTGACTGGTTAGAATCTTAAAATAGCATTTCTAGAAGAAATGGCAAATTAACAAAACCTTCACTGCTTTGCATTTCTAGAATTGACCAAGTATTTCATAGAATAATTGAAAAGGCCATATATATTATCTGGCAAAGAAAGGTTTGGCCATTACCGGCGACTTAGTGGGGATCAGTATAATATTTCGATACGGCAAGTGTGAAAAAAATCAGAATGCTATCAATTTTAAAATTGAGCTTGCCATTTAATCAACAATATATTAAAATTGATTTGAAGAATTTACAAGAACCAAACTCGGATGAAGTGACAGAGAATCAAAAGTTAGATATATATAAATTTAGAATTGATGTTAAAGAGGATGATTTTATATATTTTTATTTTTAAAACTATTTATTGTTTGCATCTAATTTATTTGCTTACTTGTATTTCATTTATTTGTTTCATATATATATATATATATATATATATATATATATATAAAGATAGATAGATAGATATCATGTACTTGTAATTTGTTTGTTTATTCTTTAATTATTATTTGTTTGTTCCCTAATTTGTAATTCATTTGTTGCTGATTGTAATGTTATAGAATAATTATTACAATTAAACTAAAAACATGCAAGGTAAAAGTAAAACAATGCTGATTATAATTAGAAAATGTTTTAAAATTCGAAACAATTAAAATAATAAACGAATTTCAGTCTTTAAAAAATTTAATGAAATATAGCATGATGTTTATTTATTTAAACAAACATAAGTAAATAAAAATAAATAAACTTAAATAAGGCAAAAACACTAATGGTACAAATTACGTCATTGACATAAAAAAACAAGATTTTTAACTAAAATTTAAAATTGTTAGAAAGATGTAATTTTTAAAAAAAATACTTTGGTCTTTCCTCTTAATAATAACATAAACATTTTAACGATGAAACTTTGTTTTTATTAAGTTTGGGGCATTTTTTTTATCATGCTATGCTGTTTTTTAGAGAAAAAGTGGAGGTGCCTATGTTTAGTTTATTTATTCAGCAACAACATTTATTATTATTATTTTTTTTTAAATGAATATTAAATAAAGGCCAGTATAAAATCCAACCCTATTTCTTCCTTTTTTAAATGTAATTTTAAACAGTTTTCTTAAACTTTTTTGGTTTAACAATCATTCATTATCTACATTACTGCCTCGTTAACCTCATGAACTATCTTTGTGACGTCACGTCACAATCGAGCAGTAATCTCGGCTGGATTCAAATTCAGATTTCGTCCATGAATAACACTTTTCATGGAGCACTCAGATACGACACTTTGATTCTAGGCAAAATACACAGATACGACACCTGTTAATTAACTACCACCTCACGGCCAGTTTAACGTAGGTAATCATTCGTATACGTGTGGAAACTGTCCAGTCTCTGCGATCAGTGTCACAAAAGCGTCAAAATATTCTTACCTTTCACTTTTGTGCAATAGTCAGATGTAGCCTCAGGGTCGGATTGTACAGAACAATGCTCGTCTAGTGTTTCGCCGTGAATTGTCCGAAGAAAACAAAAATCACGGCTGTGTGTTTCATCCGAAGAAAAAGAAAACGGATGAGGAGAAGAATATGTGCTACAATCTGATCCTAGCCAGAGCGCATAAATACTACACAGATCTCTGGAATGATGTACTGATTTATACGGAAATAATCCTGCCATTTTTTTACATGTATAATAATAAAAATAATGAAGAGCTTATGAAACCAAAGTATGATATTAAATAACAACAATAAGATGGAGAAATAATAATAATAATAATAATAATAACAACGAATGATTTTGAGAAACTAAGTAAATACAGAAACCTAGAGATGGAAAGTGAAAAAAAATGTGGTACTTAAATACTAAAACTGTTCCTGTTGTGATTGGAGCTTTGGGTCTGATAAAGAAAAGAACTCAACAACAAATCAACAAAATCCCTTGTTCACCCTCTGTCCAAGAAATCAAAAAATAGTCCTAACAAGCACAAGCCTGCGAAAAGCTTTGTCCATTTTTCTTTTTTGTTAACAGCTGTCTTTTGTTTAATTCAATGAAAATTAATAAAAAAAGAAGAAAACAAAGCATTCTTCACTTGACCTAGGTTATTGGTTCTGACCCGGTATGTGATTATAAAACAATTGCAGGTCAAAAAGAATTTTAAAAAGTAGTAATAATAAAATTGTTTCATCAAAAAAATTCAAAAAGACGATACATTTAAGAGTGTACATGTTGTTCACAAGTATCTCATATTATCTGTTTATTTCTTCTTTCCCG